TGTTAAAGGGACAATTTAGAATGATTCCATTTGAAATATTTTCTCTTACAATGTCTTTAAATTATTAAATTTTTTTATTATGGTAAAATGAATATAAAGTACTTTCCCAGGGAATATTTGCTGCATTTGCAATTACTGTAAATAATAATTGTTTTTTCTTCAAAACTCAAAATTTAAAAAGATAGTAGTGATCCATCCACATTACAGCCACCTCCAAAGTTATATTAAATGAAGTAGGTTTTCCCAAATGATGTAGTTCCTTTACCTTTCAATGCCAGAACATGTATGCTGTTGTTGGCATATGTCATGGAAAACCACTTGGAAACAAACAGGCCCCACAACACATTTCCTCTGATTCCTTTCAATTTCTTTCATGTCACTTAATTCTGAGAGTAAAAAGCTTCATTTAGGAACAAGTAGATTACCAGCCCCAAATCAATATGATTTATCTCAAATTTATTGCTGGAGCCATGTGTCCATGAAACTTTTGCTGTCAAGGAAGTAATATTTCAATGTAATATCCTTGAGGGACTACCAATTGGGTAACTTACTCACTTCCATATATGTTTGTAATTAAAAACTTATAGGCACTCTGGACTACACTCCAAAATATTCCTTACCTTGCCCTCAAAATCATTCTTCTAGTCTGAGCAGTAACAGTCAGGGTGAGTGGAGAAGTGGGCACAGGCAGGAATCCATCATACTAGTCAGGGTCAGTCTTAACTACAGAGTCAAAAGTAGCCTGAGAGCAGAAAGAGCCAGTTCTGGGGACTCAAGGTATGTCAAAACAAATAGCTCAACCACAAGTGCCCAGGAGAATGTCCTCTTTTCCTCTCTCTTTACCTCTCCATTTCCTTCCCACTGCTGGTTCCATCCTCCCAGACTCTTGTTTAGGGACTCCTATTTGTCAAGAAACTTTTCCTAGCCTTTATGCAGGCTTTAATTGAATTTATCCTCATCCTCTTTTGAGTTAAATTTCTCCCAAGATTATAGACAGCAGCTCTCCTGTGTCTCACCTATCTCCCCCTCTTCTACCCATTAATCTGTTTTTGGTCTTTCCCACCACAGTGAATCAGTTCTCTGGAAGGTTACCAGGGGTGTCCTAGTCACCGGTCTGCAGTCCTCACCCTCCTAAACCTCCCATCTGTGCAACTGTTCTAGTTAGCCACTGAACTGGAACACTCCCCATTTGACTTCCACGGTTTTGCCTCTCTCTCTTTCTCCAGTCCACACATGGAAGCAGTTTCCAAAATTCCAATTTTTCCTGATATCCCTTTCTTAGTCATTTAATCCATTTCCATGACATCAACTGTAATTTCTGTTGATGACTCCGGTCTGTCTTTAGTTCTGTCCTCTCCATCCACATTTCCATGAGCCTGCTGGATAATGTCCCATGGTTGTCCTTCTGCTACCTCCACCTCGTTGGGTCTAAAACTCAATTTGCCATCTACCCCTTCAAAACTCTTCCTCTACCTCAGCTCATAACTTGTTCTCTTTACTTCCTCCCTTTTTCTCAGTTGGTCATTACACAGCTTAGGGTGGAAACTTCTTCTTCTGATTCATAAGTTAGATATTTGGGCCACAATTTCCTACTTCTAGGGAGGCCCTGCAGATATTTCTGTCATCTTATTATAGCCCTTACTCTTATCTTTGGGAGGTGGAATGACCAGCTGATGAGGGAAGTTGGGGAGGGCCTGCCAGCTACTGATGGACAAGGCTGGTGTGTAAAAGGTCCCTTCTCACACATGGTGCTGTTTCTTGCTCACTCTTGCAGAATGCCTTGTGGATTGGAGAGTGTAAGGCTCATCTTAGCCCCTGGTCTCTAGGTAAGAAGTGTAGGTAGGGTCCTTGCTGCCCAAGTGCTGGGGAGGATTATACAGTTGACCCTTGAACAACATGGGGGTAAGGGTGCTCACTTCCCTGTGCAGTTGGAAATCTGTGTGTAACTTCTGAGTCCCCCCAGACTGAAGTACTAATAGCCCATGTTGACTGAAAGCTTTGACAATAACATAAATAATCTACTAACTCATATTTGTATGTCTTGTATATTGTATACTGTATTCTTATAGTAAAGAAATGAAAACATTATTAGTTTTTACTTACTTATTTTTAGACAGAGGAGAAGGGAGCGAGTAATCGAGGGAGAAACACATTAATGTGTGGTTTCCCCTTTTAAGCCCCCAACTGGGGGCCTGGTCTGAAACCCAGTATTTGCCCTGACTGGGAATGGAACTGGCGCCCCTTTGGTTCACAGGCTGGCACTCAATCCACTGGCCTACACCAGCCAGGGAATAACTGAAAATATTATTAAGAAAATCATATGGAAGGTAAGATGCACTTCAAGTATTTATTTATTTTTTAAAAAATCCACGTATAAGCAGACCTCACAGTTCAAACCCATGTTGCTAGAGGGTCAGCTGTGGTTCTTCAGCGACGACTGAGGGGGCAGGGCACGCGGAGTTGGGGGAACAGGAATATGATGCCCCTTTTTGGTCTTGGGTCTAAGCCACGTTCTTCAATCTGACTTTACTCTCAATAAATTAATATTTTAATTTCATTTTGGTTCCTTGTATGTGTTCTCAGTTTGGTTGAGAATCCAAAGGGAAGAAACAGGGCACAATGGACCATCTTCTACATTCCTGGTTCAAAATTCTCAACCATTTCCCCCAACACACTGTCTTCTTTTGGGTGACAGTGCTAACTCACTATCATAAAACACTGAGAAGCTATATATACTTTTTCATTTTGATTTTTTACTTCTTGGGATGTGTCATCCTCACCCCCAAACTTCAAAATTTTTCTGACTTGGATACAATGTCAATTATTCTTTTAAAATGACAACCTAGCAGAAAGAAAGGCATGACTTCTACTAAATTAAATTCCAAAATGGATTAATTAGCCGACTTAATATTTATTGAATTCTGCAATGCATTAAGCATCACAGAAACGCACGGAAAGAAGCAATTAAGAACACCATTATTTGGAGACGGAAATGATAAATTAGCAACAAAAAATCAGAAAATAACAACAGAACCTAAATACTAAATACTTTCAATGATTTGGTTTGCTCATTATAGGTATCCTTGAGATAACTGATGGAAAGAACAGAAATGAATGCATGTAAAAAGAAATACCTATAGTCCTATTGCATGGCAGTTAAGCATTTGCCTGCCAAATGAGATAAATGATGTTCTGGTGTGCACTTGAAACTTATAAATGGCTGCAGCAAGACTCAGGATGATAACAATTGTGCTGAAGTAATAGTTCAGAAAACCATAACTTGCTATTTAGTTGCTTTCTGTTGTTAATTAAAAGTGCAGAGTTTGGGGCAAACTGGTTACCATGCTGTGTTGGTGGTCTTAAGACATGTCTCAAGGGTATTTATTTAGGCCATTTTTGCTCACTCACAAATTTTAGTTAATGAGAAGCATAAAGTAAAATGACCTTCCTAAATTCTTAGTCTACAGCCATACCACCCTGAACGTGCCAGATTTTGTCTAAATTCTTAGTTACTTCTCCCAGTGTTTGCAGAAGGTTAATTCAGTTTTGTTGTTTTAAATTACTCCACTAGGCCACTGAGTTGATGCAGTAAAGAATTCTTCCTTTTCCAATGTGCCACACATTGCAGGCTCTCAGGATTCTCTTCAATAGTCCCTGCACTCTGGACAGGAATGCACTCTTTCACTGCAGTGGGCTGTGGTGTCAGGAAGCCGCTAAGCAAAATGCACCTGATACAGTGCTGCCCGTCAGCCCAAGTGCCAGGGACTTTAGAAGCCTCTCCTGCCTTGAAGTGCAGACTACACTCTGACATTCAACATTCCCACCTTATATATACAGCGTCTGCAAGCGAGGTGCAACTCAACGGAATGAGATGCAGCATGTCAACAACTTGAATGTTTATTTTGTTTTATAAAGTTGTAAGTAAGAAAATAATCCATTGCTTCCCATGCTTATGTATCTGGCACTTAAGAAATGCATTAGGCAATGCACTTTTGAGTATCCTTTACTGCTTACACATGGTAATATGTTAACGGTCTTAAGAACATCAATGGTTAAGCTTTTAAGCAGAGATACACGATTGATTTTGTACCGTTAGAAACCACCACCAATATAGAGATCCTTCAAGCACATACGAAACTTAAGTATTGTCATGGGTTCTTGCTTTTCAGAATTTTATAAATTACGTTTTTATGACAAAATTTCTTGTTTCTTAAATATTCCAAAGAGTCCGCCTTAGTAATTATTAGAATTCACAAATGCAGTAATAGGCTACCTTGCCATTATTACTGCAGTTTCCTTATGCAAGTAAATAAAACAAAACAAACAAAAAATATCTCCACACAGTATTGCCTAGGGAGGAGCATAACGCGGTGCCGCACTTGGCCGGCCGGCCAAGGCTGCAAGATGCCGCAGACTGCGGCAGCGGCGGCGGCGTCCTGGCCAGGTGGCAGAGGCCGTGCACAGAACGGCGCACTGCAGCGCACCCGCCATACCTTCTGCGTTGGCATTGAACCAGCAACTACTGAAAAATCTCCCAGCCATCAATATACTTTTAGCTCGTTATGAAGAAATGAGAGGGGGCAAGAGGGACAGAAGAGGGAACGTGTGCATTTTGTGTAATAGATCATTATTGCCTCCCATTCTTTAAAAAATTTCTCCTCCAAATATTTACCAGCCAATCCTAATTTCCTTCATCTGCCAGTTCTCTAAATCTGAATTTGCCCCTCCTTTGCAAATACACTAAAATGAGTCGGATTTTACAGTAAACGCACAGATACATGAGATCTAAAGTGCCCGTCTCGGCTAGGAAATTGCACCAAGTTTGGGGTATCAAGGTTCACGTCTGCAGACCGGAGCGCTCTACTGGGGAGCGCTCCCAGTTAGAGGGGCTTGGAGACGGGTTGGCCTCCCGTTCCTGGAGGACCCCAATTCCCAGGGAAGGCCCTTCCCGGTGTTCACGCTTCGGCGTGCGAGGAACCCCCCCGCAAGCAATAGCTCACCCGGCTGCATCTTCCAAAGCCCCAATCTCGGGGCGGGGCGCGGGGAGGTAGGAGGTTGGGGGTAGCTCAGCACCTTACGGTTTTCCCCCTGGCTCCTTGGCGCCCCCTGACGCCGGACTCCCCTGAAACTCGGCCAAGGGAAGCTGGATAGGTGGAAGCCCCAAGCGTCGGGGAGCCTAGAGGCACCCGGCTGGCGTACCCTCTGACGGAGCGGACTGGCAGCTGGCCCCACAGGAGGGCGCTGGGCGCTCAGGCCCGAGCACAGTCCGCGGCCGCCGCCAAAGCCGCTGCAGCCATGTCCGCGCGCCCGCGCTGCCGCAGCCCGGCTGTGATGTCATCAGACGAGCCCCCGCCGCGGCGCCCCATTCCCGCCCCCCGCGGGCTACCGAGGCTGCAGCCCGAGCGCGGCGTCCCCGCCCCAACCCACGTGCGCCCGTCTTCGGGATGCCGAGGCCGGCCGCGGTCGCGAGAGGATGCACAGAGCCCGGGTGGCCCCAGCGGCGGTGCAGCTCCTCCCCGCCCGCCGCGTCCCCGGCGGGGCTGCGCCCGGGGGCTGCGCATGGGCGGGGGCGCCTGGGGAGGGAGGAGAGAGGCTCGGGGCCGCCAAATCCCTGCCTAGTCGCCGTCTGCTGAGTCATGGCAACCGCTGCCCGCAGCCCTGGATCACTCGCTTAGTGCTGTTGGCACGGGGTGCGCAGCCATTGGGCTGGGCGCGGGTCCGTGTGCGCCGGGCTTGACGCGCTGATCCGCGCTCGCCCGTGCCCGCCGCTTGTGTGTGCGCCCCGCGCTGGTGCCTGTGCCGCCGCCTTCCAGTCCCGCCGCCGAGCTGCCCCCGCCTTGCCCGCACCATGATCGCCGCGGCTTTCCTGGTCTTGCTGAGACCCTACAGCATCCAATGTGCCCTGTTTCTCTTGTTGCTTCTGCTGGGCACTATTGCCACCATCGTCTTCTTCTGCTGCTGGCACCGCAAGCTCCAGAAAGGGAGACATCCGATGAAATCGGTCTTTTCGGGTCGTTCAAGGAGCCGAGGTAAGACACGCCGCGACGGGTTTCTTCGGGCTAAGAAGAACGTTTAAGCCGATTTGGAGAGTGAAGCGCAGCTCGCTCCCTTTTGCGCTGCGCCCTATCTCCATCATTGCCTACTCCCCAGGCTGAGTACGCTTCTAGGTTTAACGTTCCTCGCCCTTTCCCCCCTCATCTCCTACCTTCAGTCTCCCGGGTTGGGGGATGAACACAGCGATTATAAGAGGTGGGAGGAGAGGCGCGGACGCAAATTCTTAGTGTCAGTTTGTTTAAAGCCCCTAAGGGTAATTGGAGCGCAGCCCAAAGCCTTCTTTCGCCTATCCATTACTGACTTTCTTCATGGAGAGTTAGGGGCTCTCCAACTCCCCCGGAACTTTTCCTAAAACTTCTCGTGTTGGAATCATCTAGAGACCGATGACCTAGTAACCTCCCCGCCCTACAGGATGTCCCCACTGAATTCGAGGCATTTGGAATATGCCTTCCTGATCCCTCACCCCACAGGTAAGGCATCGGTTTATTCGGCTGGGAAAGAACAGGGAGTTAAGTGAAGTCTTGTTTTTTCTCTTTTTCTCCACAGATGCTGTTATGAGATCTCACCACTTTCGTTCTGAGGTAATTTATTTAGCGCGCACGCTCAAGGTCAGAAGAAGTTCTCTTTCCTGAGTACCAATATTAATCATATTGTTTAGACACCAGTAGGGCATTGCATGGCGAGCATGCTGCCCCCAACCGAACTAGTGCCCGGGGAGCAGTTGTAGCAAATTTCTTGTGTAGTGGAGCCGCTGTAAAAGAGGGAGAAAGACAGCCTCTAAAGGCACTGCAGACCTTAGAAAACTTAGCCTGGGGGTTGATCTCAGTTTCATTTAAATCTGTAAGTTGCCTGTGGGAGCTTTCTGGGTGCTGTTAGCTGGGGTTGGTCACTTGGATTATCCAACAGCAGAGCTTTTTAGAAGTTAGTGCAGAGCAATTTGATCCACATGCATTTCATTTTAGAGGTTCATGTTTACATTACTGTTCACTGATAAAGCTCTCCATGCTTTATTGGGCCCATCTGATTTTTGCAAAGTGATGATGGTACTGATTGAGCTTTATCTGGTTGTGTGCGCAAGCCTCTACTCTCAAAGTGTGGACCATCCCTCCAACGAGCAGGTGGGACTGCAGAAGCACCAGCTCCACTGAAGAGAGAACAAAGTAAAACAAAAACATAAGCTCTCCCCAACCCAGCATTTCTTTATATGAGTTTCCAGAACAATCCCACTTAGTATGAGATATTTTTCCGTGTTTTAAAGAGTTTCACACAGCCAGGTTTGGGAATTACTGGTACCAATGCTTGTTGTGGTTTACTCAAGTTAGCAGACTTCTTAGTTAGACACCCTCCATTTACTTGCCATTTATCTGAGAAGTTATTTTACATTTCATTTCACTAGTTAGTCAGATATTTTATTGGACTCTGGTTGCTTGAAAGCTTTAACTGCATTATTATAACAGTCTTCTAATGTTGCACAATGAATAATTCTACTGCAGGTAGCCCTGGAGAGTGAGAACTCTGTGCACAATTTAGGATACTTAAGAGAATAAATTAGCCAGTCAGATAACTGGTCCATCCCTGGCTTTCCTCTAACCAGCTGTGTGGTGCTGGGAAACTCTCTACTCAGCACCTCAGCTTTCTCATCTGTAAAATAGGACTAATAGGACTGACAGGGTTGTAAGGGGGAAATTGATTTCAGGTTTACAAGTAATTATGTTAAAAAACCTACTTAGTTCATAATAGGTATTCAGTACTCAGTAGATATTATTACATTTTGTAAAATTGAATTAAAAATGTAAAAATAAAAATTTGCAAATTTTAAAGTCTAGATTAAATTAATTTGAATCTATGGGAAACAACACAAACCACATCTATCACGAAGCCACACTTTTTAAATATGTAATTCATTTACTAGATTAACCTACATAGATATGACGAAAATAATGACCAGGGTGCAAACATCAAAATTTAGGATGTCGGTTTTAAAAAGAGATTACCAGTTCAGTACACACACATGGTAGAACCAGAATAATAATCCTGTTACAGAATATTTTATTTCCCATCAGGTGTTTTAATTACAGCACAAACAGAAAAAAAAATGATATAGAACTAAGTCTTGTTTACTTATCTTTCCGTTAAGCACTTGTCCAGAGCTTGCATTTGGGTAGCAATGGTGGGAGCAGTTGTTTAATGCCTTAACTCATTTCACAAGAATGCTGGTTCTGTGTGACATTCTGTTTCACTTCATATTTGCCTCATCTACTAGACTGTGAGCTCCTTGAGGGCATGGACCATATCTCTCACTTAATGGTGTATCCCCACTGCCTGGGATAGTGGGTTCTTAATAAATACTTACTGAATGAATGAAAAAAATTCTTCGGTGGGTGCCAGTTCCTATAACTGGGCAAATAAAACTCAATTTGGGCAGGAAAGAGAAATGCACATTCTCAGGACATTGCTCAGAATTCCACATTGGCTGAATCTCTACTCTAATCTTTCTAGGCTCTTAATAGTTGCCATGGACTTTGTATTAAAAATGTAAGTCACTGGTTATAACAAAATGGATTTGCCCAAATTATTTATCTCAGAAAATCAAATGCAAAATTAGCTTAATTTGTTGATGGGCTACCTGTGTTCCTTTGTGTACTAAGTTCCTTCAATAAACAACTGAAAGAATGTTATTTTTTAAGTGAAAATCCTGAGACTGTGTTGCATGAGAATATCATATTTCATCACTGTTTTATGTTGACCACAAATAAAACATTTTCTCTTAAGGGTAATATAGGGAATGCTTTCCTCTTCCCACTTTCTTCCAAAATGTCGTTTCCTGTAGTATTTTCTCCTCAAGAAATACCTCTGAATATTTTGTGTTCCAGTATATTAAAAACTTAGAATTTGAGTGGCATAGTGGATATTCTTGGTTTTTTAGCAGTAGCCGCTACAGACTATTAACAAAACGGTTTTCATTTTCTGACATGTCATAATCATATTGAATTAAGAAGTTAGTGCCTTGTTGTTCCTCATTCCAATCTTAATAAGTAGGTAATTCATGCTCAGCATTTCCATAGTGGTCAAGTAAGAAAAGTGAGTTTAGGATCTCCTGACTTATTTTGAAATCTGGAAGAACTTTGGGAAAGCCCTTTAACATGTGGAAGAAGTTCAGTTAGCACTTTGCTGTTTCACTTGGAAGAGGATATTGCTTCTGCTACCCACATGCCCAGCAAGGATTCCAGCTGGGCAGGGAATTTTAGGATGTTCCTTCCCAGATAGAGAAATACATCTCCAGGGAGGAAAACCACGGCATTGGACCCAGTTTGCTTTGGGAAAGTTCTGCAGCAGGGCAGGAGGCCACATCTCTCATTCGAGGAGCTCCAGCTTTTTTCTCTTCACCAAGAATCTAATAAATACATTTCTCCAACTTCGATTCTTCCTCCTGAAGCTAGAAATAAATAGTGGAGATGTTGATAAGATGTTTTAGAGCCTAACCACCACCAAGTCTCTGAATTTTCACTTGCTTGCAAAGTTATCTTTACTAGCTTTTTATTAATCCTCTAAATTTTAATAATTAAGATGTGAGAATGTGAAATTATTAATCCATCCAGCAAGGGCCAACAGTATAACCCCAATTCACTGACAGATAAAAAAAAAGACAATTAGATTAATAGAAACAAGTGTTTTGTATATGCAGATAAAGAACACATACAGCTAATTAATTAATTAATTAATTCTAAATTGCTAATGAAGAAAAGTGATTTTGCATTGATGTAGGATGCAGTCTAGAAACCAAATGCTCATTCTGTGTCTAATTCTGTGTACTTCTCCTGAAGATTTATAATGTTTTATGCTATGACTTTATACAATGATTAACTGTTACCCAAGATTCCTGTGGTGAAAATCAGGCAGTGACAATCTTGATTTTCAGGAAATTTCAGAAAGTGATACGGGTAATTGAGGTACCATTAGGTTACAAGAAGGAGCTTTGGGAGTACTTCAGTAGGCTGAAGACAATTATAATGCCCTTTGAGAATACCCAGAGCGAACAGTGGTAAATGATCCCCATTCATCAGCTCAGTGGAATAAGGGAAGCCTTGTTTGATCAAAGGAGGGGAAAGAGTGTGTTTTGTGTCCATCAGGATTTGAGTAAATATCTGCACTTCCCATTTTCAGTTAAAGGAACAGAAAGAGTTAACTCAAATTAAGCAGTTCTTGAATAG